GTTCATCGTCACGATAAAAGACAAGGTGATAGAAGCAGAAATGTAACATGCATTAAAGGTGCTGACCGAAGTGACAATGACATTTACATGTCTTTGTTTGATCGTTCATTAAAAGGACCCGAGTGTAGGATTTAATATCAACTGTCATGGTGACAACAATCAATCTTCACTTCATTTATAAAGTCAGTAAACATTTAAGGAGTTCATGTCTCAGTCTCTAGTTTCAAGCCTTCATCAATACAGCTGATGTTCACTTTATAAATTATGATCACTTAGAGTCAAATAGATCATAAAGATGGTGCTGGACAAAATGACTCGGTTTTGGTGATACTGGTGCTAAATCAATATAATATGCTGCCAGTCCCTTAAAGATGACCAGAGTCAATCATTTCTTCTCAAAACTGCGGTCAACCATATGAACAGCTCCATTCTTGGTGTGTAACGTCGCTGTGGGTCGATGCTCTGACACTTCTTCATCACTTTAGGTTCTGCACCTTTCCATTTAATCACCACTGAACATGGTTTTAAAAAAATGTGTTTGTCACTCACTGAGCTGCACTCATTTTCTTTACTTTTTCCTTGGGTGGAAAATGTGTCACTTCCAGCAGCAACTGCTTTCTACTATATGTTCTTTATTCAAGCAAACGTGGCTTTCCACCACACATACAGTTAAACTGGAAAAATGTTTTGCGTTATATTTGTATAACCTTGTGTGTACAAGTCAAGTTTTAAGATTTTTAGATTCTGAGACTTTTGGAAACAAAACTGCAGCGTTGTGTCGAGGTCTGGACAAACAGAAATGGTGACTTTCAGGAATGATGACCCACATGCCCTCAGGCACGACTCAGTGAACATCCATGAACAGTAAAAGTTCTGCCTCGTCATTGGTCCAAGCAAAGAAACCTCATCTGTGTTTTCACCACCAATGTTCTGCAGAGGAGACATGTGTTTTCTGCTTCCTGTCAAACTGCAGGTAAAGGCCCCAAATTCCCAGAAAGATTTGCAGACACAGATGGAGAAAAGTTGTTGATACAACAAGGCAAAGATAAAATGTCAGATCTTACTTTTAAATCACTTAATTGTGTAATTTTTCTGCAGTTCTACTAACAGTGCGCAGGATTTCTTCTTAGGCCTCTCACCAAGAACAGGCATGTGACAGCTGATGCTGTTTTTCCAAATCAGCACTATAATGAATATTTAGTTCACCAAATATTTTCCTTTTGGCATTGTGGTATGCTTCATAGTAACGGACGCTGTAATGATATTTCTGTGGAATAATCTCCCAGTTTCAGTTCAGGAGGCAGACATTCTCTCTACGTTTAAGAGTAGGCTGAAAACCTTCCTTTATGATAAAGCTTATAGTTAAAGCTGGTCAAGGCTTGTCTTAGATCTGCTGCTATAGGTTTAGAATGTCGAGGGACACACGACACATGGTGCTTCTCTTTCCTCTTCTCCCTCCTTATCACATCAAATAAATTAATGTCTCATCAATACTTGTTACTGACTTGACTTCTTCCCCGGAGTCCCAGTGCCTTATCACTCGCAGATCCAGGGCTGCGACCTTGGCCACATCGTGGATTATGATGGTGGATCCTAATTGTGGTGGCAGCTGATCGTGGACTATGACTAGACTGCTTGATATACAATATGTCTACTGGTATTTGGTAAATTATGTCAATATATTAAACTGTGCAGAACACCTTCAAATGTACAAGGGATATTCACCATCTTGTCCTATATTCTAAAATTGCTCTGTTTTGATCTCCACCAAACTTTGAGAGTCATATCTGGCCCTTGAACTGCTGAAAGCTCCACTTTGTTGTCTAGGTAGTTGCTAACTTCATCAGCTGTGTGGCGCTATGCAGGCAGTGTACAGTGAGAGTCTCACAGCTTTTACACCAAAAAGTACTTGCGGCTCTTTCTTAGTCTAATTGCAGCCTTAGGGATAATTCTCTGGATTCTTCACCACAAGTGACTCTTTTCACATTACACATATTCACTTGACTCACTGATAATTTCAATTATTGATTAGTGCACTTGTATGGTTTACTCCTGTGTCTTCTAAACATCCAGTACTAATGATTGTTAAATGTCTCCTTGTGGCCTGTAGGCAGGGAGCCAGCTGCACTTTGGATGAGCTAACAGCCTCTGCGTTCCTGACTGTAGAACTGGATCGTTCACTCGGAGGGTTTGCAGTTCAGGTACAACCTGTATGAAGTGAAAATGAACAGCACATGCAAATGATGCCTATTATCTCTATTCCTTGTGAAGACTATGAAAACATATAGCTGCCTTTGTTGATTAACCATTATTATGAACTTATTACATCATAAAWATATATATATCTGATTATAACAGTATAGTATTTGTCTTATGTACTGGGCTCACTGGCCAATAATATGTAATTAACCATCCATTGTTACTTGATAACGCTGCAATACCTGTAAAGTCAGCAGTAACTCCTGACTTTTCATATAGTGCAAGGACATTACCATCAATCCTAGCTGTGCTTTGGGTTGAGTGCTATCAGCAAATATTGTCAATAATGATTAGTTAACACATGTTACGATGATCATCTTGACATGATGTCTAGAAGTCAGAACAGCTTGAACGCAGTCAAACCTGTGGACCCAGTAATCAGCATTTGTAAGTAAAGACAATATGCATTTTTTTCAATAGATGTATCTATTTATATCCTTTTAGAGACATTGTGCTACTGTTCATATTTTAATTTGTTATTCAATAAATGTTACTGAACTTGTTTTTGCATAACAACAAACCTGTTTTATTGTATATTTCATCCAAAAAGGTGTTAAAAATTTCATATTTCAATAATTGAGTTAGTTCAAGTATCAGTATAGGGAGCGGAGGAGCGGAGTAGTGCAAGTGAACTTAGGTAGGTTGAAGACCAGTTGAGTTGCTGCATTCTGGATGAGCTGCAGAGGTCAGATGGCACTAGCAGGTAGAACTGCCAGGAGGGAGTTGCAGTAGTCTCGGCATGAGATGATCAGAGCCTGGACCAGAACCTGTGCCACCTTCTGAGTGAGAAAGGGACGTATTCTCCCGATGTTGTGCAGCATGTATCTACAAGGTAAGGGAGAGTTGACCGTCGAGTGTCACACCCAGGTTCTGAGTGGGGGCTACCACAGAGTTGTAAATGGTGATAGTAAGTTCATGGGTGGGAGAGCCTCTCCCTGGAAGGAAAAGTAACTCAGTCTTGTCAAGGTTGATTTTCAAGTGGTGTGCAGACATCCACTGAGAGATGTCAGTCAGACAAGCAGAGATTTGTGCTGCTACCTGTGTTTCAGACTGGAGAAAAGAAAGAATTAGGTTGGTGTCATCTGCGTAGCTGTGGTAGGAAAAGCCATGAGCATGAATTACAGAGCTGAGAGACGGACGGAACCTTGAGAGAGCACAAGGTTCTGACACAGATCTCCTCCAAGTTACCCAGTAAGTGCAGTCTTTGAGGTAGGATGAGAGCAGGGAGAGAGCAGAGCCTGAGACGCCCAGATCCTGAAGGGAGAAATAACGATCCAGTGGTTCATTGTTAAATGCAGCAGAAAGGTCTTGAAGGATGAGGACAGAGGAGAGAGAGGCTGCTCTAGCAGTGTGAAGTTGCTCAGAGAAGCAAGGATAATGAGCAAGGAGGGCAGTCTCAGTTGAGTGGCCCGCATTGAAACCAGACTGGTGAGAATTAAGAAGGTTGTTCTGGTGAAGAAAGGAAGAGAGTTGATTAAAGATAGCATGCTCAAGTGCTTTGGAGAGAAAAGGAAGAAGAGAGATGGGCCTTTAGTTGATTACTTCAGACAGGCCGATGGTGGGTTTCTTCAGGAGGGGGTTTTACTATTGCCTCCGTAAGAGAGTTAGGGAAACAGCCAGTTGACAAGGACAGGTTAATAAGATGGGTGAGAAAAGGAAGAAGGTCGAGAGCAATAGATGGAAGAATGTGAGAAGGGATGGGGTCAAGGGGGCAGATGGTTGGGCGGGCGGAGGTTACCAGGGTAAGAACTTGATTGGGAGACAGGGGGTTAAAGAGGACAGGGAAGGGGATGAAGTTAACGGAAAGGTAATTAAAGAAGGTGGATTTAAGAAAGAGGAGCGTATGGTAGAGAAACAGGAAAGAACCTCTAGCAGAACCAGGCTCAATGTGGGCGGCCATCTGCCTTGACCGGTTGGTGGTGAGCTAACAAAACCAGCACACACAACTTCACAGAGGAGGTCGCCCAATCCACAACACACAGCTTGAATGCTGCCCCTTCTCTCTGCCTCTTAACCACCATGGCCTTGATTGGTGATGGAGCCCAGCCATGTACACTCACACACTGCAGCTGCAGGGGAAAGGGTGGCACCTGAATGGACACTGTTGAGTGAGAGCAGAGAGAAAACACAACAAGGTACATAACAGCATTGTAGATGATGGGCCCCCATCTTTTCATATCCTTTGGATCGAGAGTCTGTGCAGTAGTGGTCATGGAGTGGAGCAGTGGTATCAACCAGTATCAGCTTACTCACACCACATCCAGTTAGTCACCTCTGTTTCTCATAATAAGAGAGCGAAAGGCCCCGGGTGTAAGCTTAGCAACTAAATAAACTAAATAAAATAGCTTACATTAATTACTTTTAAATAGGCAAACATTACATTTTAAAAACTAACTGGATATTGTTGATGATAATAATAAATATAAAAGTAAATTAGCTATATATTGTTTGTTGTGTGTCTTTTTCCTTCTATAGTATAATAATCATGAAAATCGCGAAACCATGATATTTCCTCTGAGAATAAGTGTGGCACCAAAATGTCATATCGTGACCCTAATACAGACAAAGCTTTTTTTCTTGGAGTGAACGCCTTGTGATTGTCGAGAAATTACAGAATGCAAATTAATGGTAGATGTATAAGCTCAGTTCCTGAATCTGTATGTGTGTATTTTGGCAGTCAGTGGACACACCCACTGTGTGTGCGTGTGTGTGTGTGTGTGTAAAGGGATGGGGAAAGACTCCTGCTACAGACTCAGTGCTTAGGAAACAGAGCAGCAGTGTGTTCCCTTTCCTCCCACCCTCCTCTTGCCTCAGCAGCAGGGATCCTCACTCGTCCTCAGAGCCTAACAGCAGCGGCAGACATGGTGCTGCACCACAAAGAGTTCACCAATGCAGGCAAGGCAGCCGGGCTGCAGATTTGGAGGATCGAGAACCTAGAGCTGGTCCCTGTGTCCGAGAGATCACATGGGAACTTTTACACCGGAGATGCTTATGTGATTCTCAGCACTGTTCAACAGGGACACAGCTTCTCCTACCACCTGCACTACTGGCTGGGTAAGTGTCTAAAGCCCTGGACCTTCTCTTCTGGGTCAACTTCTTTTTCCACTCTCTCAGAAGAAGGGAAATGAGTGACTTGCAGACCTAAAAGCATTGAAGGCGATTAGGAAGCAATGGGAGCAAAGTGATTTGGAAAACGTCCTCCAGGTGGAGAGACACCGTAGCTTCCTCAGGTTCATCAAAGAAATGTAACATGGAGATGGTGTTATTAAGAAGAAATGATCTTAATGCAATCCTGCTGGAGTCAAGCTTCAGTCGCTCAGGTTGTAATTTCAGAAACATTTGTGCCCAGAAGTGATGTCTGCAGCTTGGGCAAACTTTGGTGTCAGCTTTTCCAGTTTGACTGCTCACTCACTCACTGATCTTTGGGATGCAGTTTGTCAGTGTGACACAACAATACACTGAGTGTCCTGTGAGCTGTTTTTAAAGTGTGTTTACACTGAATGCAGATCAGCTCCGGGTCCGTGTGTTAGAACAAGTTTACACAGTGTGCCCTGTGTTACTCTCAGTGGAAAAGTACTCACATCACTTATTTGCAGTATAAAACAAAAACAAAACTGACTTCTAGTATAAAGACACAGATTTTTTTGTAGCCAATGTCCAAGAAGAGCAAGTTGGAAAACAGAAATCTTCATTTGTGGGACTTTTTTATTCTTTCATAGTTCGTGTAGTTATGTGTGGCTCTAGTTTTGAAGACAGTTTCGTTCCTGCATCTAGAATACTAGTGACATATTTCTATTCTTCACAATGGGATGACACATGTAAACCTGGAACCTTTCAACTGGGCCATCAAGTCACCTAAGGGCCTTCACATATGATTATTGACAGCCTTTCTTTGCTGGAGGGGTGTCGTTTCTCAACCTTCCACTTTAAAATACTCCAAATGTTTTCTGATAATTGTTTGCTCGTGACTGACAAGTCAGGGACTTGGTCATGTCGCAAATTACTTTTTTAAAAGAAAACAAAAATGGGTACAATCTGTTTGTCACATGAGATCTAATATCAACAAATATCTCTTTTAAGATCACGCAGGGCCATAACACACTCCCACCTCCATGTGTTACAGTCTATCCTTACAGTGTTAGTCCTGCCCAGGTCCATGTCAGAATATTCTGTCTGACTTCAAAGACATTTTACTTTAGTTTATGTACTGCATGGCTCTGATCTGATCATAGCTCTTTAGTGCAGCAGGTAGAAGTAAAACAATACAATTCCAGAAGTCTTCATATATTGAAGAGAGTAGACAGCGAGGCACCCAGTCTCCAGGTAAAACAAGACGATTAGTTTATTCCTTTAGTAAATGGGCATATGTTTGAATATATGGTTCAGGAATTCACACCCGGATAGCTATCAGGAGTGAAAGAGACCGTAAAAGATCATTTCATGGGCTGCTGTAACATCTGTGAGCAACTCTTTTGACATCATATGATTCTAAGTGACTCAGGATTAGCGGCTAAAATTAACCTGGAAACTCTGCAGTGATTTCCTGAAAACCCTCCAAAGCAGAAGTGATGTAGACGTGGCACAGGACTTTAAGCTGCTTTCAGTGATGCACTGAACTGCAGATAATCTGGAAAAGAGGTGCCATAAACATAGAGTTTATGTCGGAAATCAGCTTTGGTGTTCCCTTGCCTTCAATTTAAGATTACATGTCAGGACAACAGATTTGTTTCTGCACATAGAACGCACACCACTTAACCAGGAGCACAAAACAACCCTTGGACATATTACACTTTCTCTAAGCCTTTAGCCTGACAAGCTTGTCATTAGTTTCTGTCTGTAGCATCTTTTTTTGATCATTTCAAAAAAATAGTCACATTGCTGTTGAAACTAAACTAAACGTCTGTCTTTGTTTTTATTTCTGCAATTGTTCTAAAGGGTTTATCTTCAGTGTCAGTCTTTAGCTACAGATGCTGTCTGTATTGACGTTGCTCTCTCTCCCTGGGTGCTGTCAGCGCTGAGCGGGCTGACAGACTACTCTGCTTTCATCGAGGAGGAAGCGGCGACTCATTTTGAAAGGCTTGTGTGCTGTAATCTTTTTGTGTCCCAGAGCAGAAAACAAGAGAAAGGTGGTCTTATGATCCAGACTATGACTACTATCTGGAAACTGGATGTGATTGCGCAGAACAAAAGGTTAAGTTATTTAGAGTGAATAAAGGGCTGACGAATGACACTTCCTCATTTATGTGTTTTATTACGCACATCAGAATGATTGTGATGTCATTATGTTCACCCCAGCTTGGACTTTAACATAGAAAGCCTACGTTACAATGAGGGGATGTTGAATCTGGAAGATATGGGGGTTTGCCAGACTTAAAAGATGCTAATAGTTTGCAATAATTAAATATAGAACCTAACATTTTTGACTCATGGGGTATAAGTCTTCTCCTTCCTCACGAAAGTGCAATACAACAGTCAGCCAGTAAAGGGACACTTTCAACCTTTCAACAAGGGAAAATGTTTGTTTGGCCTTTTCTGGTTGGGTGGAAGTGGGAAAACCAGAAGTTTAATACATTGCATGTAAATACATTTTTCTTAATGGCACTATGTACAATGAAAAAAAATATGTTTTAAAAAATAACTGTAAATGTAAAAAAAAAAAGAAAGAAGAAAATAATAATATTGTACAGATAAATGTGCTGAGTGAGTGTGTTTCCTTCCTACAGTGGTGAAAATATCTCCATTACCTCTGGGAGTATAGCGTCAATACCGCGAAGATGTTCACTTGCTCTTGCCTTCAGTCTAAGAACCCATCAGCATCAATCAATAACCATCATGCAAATGGAAATGCACACATGTTCACTTCCTTCCTGTCACACAGGAAGACCAGCCACTTTGCACAGAGCTTGTGTAAATGCAAAGCGACTGTGAAAAACAGTCGAACTGTGCAAAAACCGCAGTCACCCACATCCCACCAGCATTTTATGTTTCTGCATTTTCATTTTTCATTTTTGATGAGTGAATTTCACAGAGAATGTTATTCACAACAATAAAAGATTCATTCATTATTTTATTTGTCATTTCATCATTATTTTTTCACAAGTAATTTAAAGTTAGTTAATTTAAGTTTTTATACTCTTTCGTTGATAGAATACAATCCCTCAGATATTTCTCAATAAAAAAGGAGGTATCCCTCATCCTATCCAACCCTACAGTCTCAACATCCCAAATTGATATATACCATTAAATTGGAAAAATAAATCTAATATTCACTGGGAATTCTTGAGTTTTTCCCCTGAAATAATTTATTTACAGCACTAGTTTATGGGATTTAGTGGCATCCAATGGTGAGGTAGTAGATTGCAACAATGTGAATCCATCACTCTCCACTTTAATGTATGTATTAAAATCTATTGTGTCCAATAAGTAACAAACAGAGGGAGAGGTTATCAGACTCATTAAGACAAAGAATTGGAAATTAAGTAATTTTTGCATTTCATTTAATACTTTATTATTTTTTTTTTTTTAAATGTTAATATTCTGAAAAAAGCATTTTCGGTACACATGCACCACCCATCACAGTGCCCCATGCCCATTCACATTATGTTTTTCATTGTGTAAAAATAAAAATAGACACAGCATGGTATTTGGTGTTTTTTGGCGGTGGTGGTAGTTTTTTAAACTTTGGACTGGATCTGATGCTGCATAGAGAGCACATAGCTCCATAACGTCTTAGTGTTTAAGGTAGTAACTAAGTGCTGTGGAAACCATAATATTGAGACATATTTGTTTCCATTTGAATTCCTGGTTTGGTGACGCTGTGTTTCTGGACACAGTGATGAGTAATGTTCACTTTACTTTCCATCTCCAAAACCATTTGTCATTTAAAGTGTCTCTGGAACACCAGCTGTTTTTATTCCTACCAAAAGTAACAAAGTTTTGTTTCTTGTCTCCACAAAATTCAAGAAATCAAGTCCCTGCACATACTCAAAATCAGCTTAATTACTCAGGAGATGTAGTAGTGTGGTGATGTAGTTAAGACAGAAGAGGAGCGCATTCTCATATAAATGTGACAGAATCTATATGTCTTCATTATTGTTTCTTAGTGAGCCTGTGTTTGGTTTTAAAGGAAAGGAGTGCAGTCAGGATGAGAGCGCCGCTGCAGCCATCTTCAGTGTGCAGCTGGACGACTACCTGGGTGGAAAGCCGGTGCAGTACAGAGAACTTCAGAGCGTTGAATCAACAGCTTTCTCCAGCTACTTCAAGGGAGGAATCACTTACAAAGTAAGGATCCAATTCATTACTAGTCTTAAAAATGGAGTCAATTGAGAAATGATCAGCTGTGACTGAATCATAGTTGACTGGCCAATACCGGCCTTTTCCCTACGAGGCTAACGCCCACTTGAACAGATACAATGTTCATTGCATTCCATATTACACAATTACGAGTAAAGTAGATGACATGCTGAGCTTCAAACCATCCTGGCAGTAATTTTGGAAATGTAGCATGTTCAGAGCTGAGGGTAATGCCAGAGGACATGCTACAGGGCCCCATACAAAACAGACATGTTTAGTTCATTTGCTCCAAAGAGAAATGCTTCATGACATTTGTCATTAAGAGAAAGATAACTGAGCTTCCAAAAGTAAAGGGTTCACCCTTTACATTTTTTTGGCAATCTGTCACTGTTGTTAAAGGAAAGGTCACAGAAACACACTAGTGTTCCTGAGAAATATTCCTCATGATCAAAGTTCATGAAAAACAGCACAGATTCCGATCTCGCCAACTTAAGTGGCACTTGACCTTATTTCACAATCATTGAGGGACTAAACATACTCATGGAAAGGTGAAAAAAATCCTGAGCTTACATTATTGACTAGATGCAGTATACAGCAACACAACTTTTTGCCACACAGGTAGCAGCAGGTGCAAGGGTTTGACAGTCCTCAAAACCATTAAATGGATCACAACATTCACGACCCCTTCAGATTAATAGCAAATAGTAATAAGCAAATATTAGGATGCTAAGCAAAGATGGTAAACTGAAAATCATGATCGTCAACATAACAGCATTCTGCTTTTTTCATTCAAAAATGTTACGTGTTTTTTGCATCCATCAATAGCCATAGCTTAGCCTATTAAGATGTTTGGCCACTAAGAACCAGTGTGCGTGTGTGCATGTGTACCCTAAATGTGTTTTAATGCCCCCCCCATAAATCCTATTTCAGCATTATACTTGACTACAGGGTAAAGAGACTCATGGGACATAGGGGGAAGTTGGAGTCTAAATTAAACATTTTGTGTTTTCTTCCCCTCAGACAGGAGGTGTTGCTTCAGGTTTCCACCATGTGGTCACCAATGACCTTTCAGCTCAGAGACTCCTCCACATCAAGGGCCGGCGCGTGGTCAGGGCCACCCAGGTCCCCTTCAGCTGGTCCAGCTTCAATAGTGGAGACTGCTTCATCATTGACCTTGGAAATGTCAGGGCACAGTGTTAAATATTAAATTGCAATATGTTTGCAGAGGAAATAATTTTTTAGAGACAAGTTAATGTTTGTAGCGATTCCCTATCTGCCCATGTGCTTATATCCCTTTAGAAGATCTATCAGTGGTGTGGATCCAAGTGTAACCACTTTGAAAGACTGAAGGCAGCACAAGTGGCCAGAGGAATCCGTGACAACGAGAGAAATGGCCGCCCTGAAGTGGTGGTCATAGAAGAGGGAAGTGAACCATCCACACTAACCAATGTGAGTCTAAAGTCACCTTGTCATAAGTTCAGAGACAGGACTGTGAATATTCGGAGTGAAAGTTATTGACCTTGTTAACTCAAGGCCAACTTAGTGGCTTTTCACCCAGATCCCATGCTTCCTCAGTAGATGGAGTTCTGGTTGACCAAAATACTCCTAAAAGGTTCACTTAAGCTTTTGTAAACTCAATCCTCTGAGGAACACCATCAGATCTGCAAGAAGCAAGAAGTCCGTTTTTTCGAATAACCAGAGCAACGACTCAAACTACCATGCTCTGATCCTCAGGCTCAGTTTAACAATGTATTTATGAATTATTTTGGCATATTTGCTTTACACAAGTGAGACAAAGTTGGTTATCAGAGTTCCTGTGTAAGAAGTAGGGAGCTGGAGTGAGGTTAGCTTAGTTTAGCAAAAACTCTGGAGTGGCTGGTTTTAAAACTCATTTACCAGTGTTGAAACTATTTAAAAAAAAAAAAAATAACAGTGGAGTTTTAGTTTTTGTTGTTTAGTTGCATGATGTTGTGAAACGTGAAATAATAACTTTGGGATTCAAACTTTTCTGTTTTTTTATGGATTAAGTAAAAAAATGTATGTGTCAATATGTCAACTTTAGACTTCACACAGAACTAGGCTCGCACTATAGCTTAAGGCTCCCTGGCTGAAGTCATTTCTGCTAAGCTAGGTTAACCACATCCTGAGTTTCAAATGCAGCTCATAGATTCAAGATTCAATAACAGACACAGAGGTTTATTATTGGGTAATGAAATTCTTACTTTGCAACTGCCCGACCAAAGAACTGTGCTTACTAATATAAAAAGAAAAACAGAAGAAAAA